CCCCAAATGGATGCTAATCACACAAAAGGCTACTTATTTTGTAAGGTATGATTTACAGAACAATTTTTGGGAGGCTGAAATGTCGCCACAAAATGACATTCACCCTCCATTTAATTGCACGAAATAGTCTTGGGGGCGGGGGAATAACCCACATGGTAAGACTGCAACTTGATATGTCATGAAAACCAGAACATTTTGTGATGTGGAACCTTGCCTGGGGCAGTGACTTTCACAGGATGATTACGCCATGTGACAATTGGAGGAAAACACGGTATTTAATTAATCCATTGATGAAGCTGGATCAGTCAAGGGACAACATAGCCATGACTCTTGATACAAAGAAGGAAAACGAAGAGTTAGAGACTTTGTCAAGAATGTTACTTTCCTACTTATTCAAGGACACAAAGAGGGTGAAACAGATGCTGTCACTAACTTCTTGCAGTGCTTATGTTATTCTGTTTGTCTCCAAGATGTTTTAAAAACACATCTCTTGGAAAGGTAACTACATATAAGTAAAAATCAAAGGCTTCAATTGCTCCTATCTCAAACCCCACATGTTTCCTGGAGGACAGGGAGCTCTCGTGCGTCTGGACATTCTCATTTGCTGCAATGGAACATGCCATCCTGCATATACAAAGGAATGCATGTACAGATCAGCTCAAACTGAATGAAAAGAACAGGAAAGTCTTTGTTTGTGGGATAATAGGGGCAGGCCTGTAGCCAGGATTTTTTTAAGTCAGGGGGCATTTAAATTTCTTAGGGGGGACTTGGTAATCAATTTAATCCAGGGGAGAAGGCCGTGACAACCTGGTCTAGATGGGAAGTCAGGGGGCCTAGCCCTGAATTGCCCCTACAGGCCTGAATGGGGGACACATATCAGAAGGAACACCCTCAGCCATGAATGACTGCTAGACAGGAGCAAGTGGGAAATGGACCTTTCAACACACTTGGTGGCACTACCAAAGGTGGGGGGTGAGAGAGCAAACTCAAGAGGGCTTAAACTCGGAATGCTTTTCTGAGAATCTTGGAAATATTACTCACATTCTTTTTAAAATAATTCCTCCTCCAAAGATAGCTGGAATCTTCATCTACCTTCAATCACTTTTTTTAAAAAAAGCCAGTTCTCAAAACTTAAACAGCATCTGATGAACTCTCGGGGGGGGGGGAGCTAAATCCAACTGCAAGGATTTAGCTACCATTCAGGTGATCTATAGTTGTATGTGCAATCCATTGACTGTATCAGTAACTTTGCTGATCAAAACAGATGCCCGCAGAGGGAATTAACAGAACACTGTCAGCACGGATAGGAACCCCAAATGAAATAAAGGAGTCTGCTCTTTGTGTATGTAAAGTGCCCTCAAGTCACAGCTAATTTATTGTGACCCCATAGGGATTTGGGGGGTAAGAGACGTTCGGAGGTGTTTTGCCATTGCCTGCCTCCATGTAGCAACCCCGGGCTTCCTTGATGGTCTCCCATCCAAGTACTAACCGGGGCCAATCCTGCTTAGCTTCTGAGATCTGACGAGATCTGGGCTTTCCAGCACCTGTGGAGGGCAGGGAGCTCACCTGTGACGTGGTGTGTCACTCTAGGGCTTCCGTTACTCCTAGATTCTGTGACATACCATTGAATTCCTCCCTCTGAAGCTTCTTTGACAGCTCAGAATTGGGGTCAATATTAAAATTTGTCCGTGGTGGAGTCTGACGGGTTTGAAATTGCATTTTAAGCCAATGGCATTGGCTTAAAAAATCTGTAATATTACAGGGTGTGCGTAGTTGCTCGTTCTCAAGTGGGAGTCAGTAACATTAGGGAGGAGTCAGGATGCCTATGCCGTTGTAAGCTCAGGCAGCTCGTGGACAAGGATTTTGTGAGCTGCATGCCACACACTGGACCATATGTTTCTGCGTCTTGAGCCTGTGTATCTCCCAGAAGTACTCAGATCAGAGGTAGCGTAGCATGGCTACAACTATGATAGGAGAAGTCCTTGGTTCAAAACTCACCGTGGCTGTGAACACGCAAGGGGGACTTAAGGCAAGCTGCTTTCTCTCAGCTTCACGTATGCAGGAGAGAGTTAATAATATGA